AAACTGCTCTTCTGAGTCTTCTCGCAGATGGTCTCGGCTCCAGCCGGGGTGTAAGATGTCAGGGTACGATTCACCGACCATGGTTGTGGCAGTCGAGACGACTGCATGTGAGCGGGCACATGGGCCATATTCATTTACGATACTCTGAGGCTGCCTTGAAATGGGCCGCAGTGCACGCTGCTCGACCGGTCTGACAGAAATTCTCTTTTTTCAAATTTTTTGGGCAAAGGAGGGCAAAGGTAACCCATTTGCTGTAGGCCCCATTTGCTGTAGGTGAGGGGATCGAACCCTAAACCCAAACACCTCCCAAACCACAATGACTTCAGCCTGTGTTCCAAGCACCTTTGGGCCAATGACCCAAAGGTGAATAGAAGGTGCGTGAAAATCATCACAAAAGAAATCGTTATGATTTCCACTCACGTTTGCGACCGCAAGAGGAACACTAATTCAAGAAGCAAAGAAATAGCACCCAATGGGAGGGCCCCCAAAACACACGTATCGTGACATATGGCCCGGTGCGTAAATACAAATAAAAACACACCGCAGATATCCAGTTCGACCCACGGTGCTTCGGAGTCACACAACCTCTCCACTACACGGCACACATCGGTAGTGGGATCTCCCTCCTTGGGCTTTGTCCCACTACCAGCGTTGAGTTTTCTCAACGCCCGAATGTGGACTAGTTTACGGATACATGCAGAAAACGGCATTGAGTTTCCTCAACCGCACCTCTCCACAAAGGGTCCAGATTCGGGTGTTGAGGAAACTCAACGCTACTACCGTCTTCCCCCAAACATAACGCATATGCGTTGTATTTGTTTACGACGGATACAGTGCGTTGTATTCGTATACAACACATATGCGTTATGTTTGAGTGAACAGGACCAACTTTACCTTCAGAAGGGGGTCGGGTCCAGGCTGAGTAGGCTCTCAGTGCTGGACGACGGGCCTCAAAGCCTTGAAAAAAAGGGTAAAAGAAAAGTAGCGATGTACCTTTCCATGTTCTGGTCGGAGATTCATTTCTTTCACCTACATGGGGCCTCTCTCCACTCCTCAGCCAATGTGCAAAATCAGAATGAATCTTCTGCTCGAACATGGAAAGATACAACTCTTTTCTGTCTTTTCTGTCTCTGTGACCACTGTAGCAGCGAGGCCTTGGTGAGTGACTTGAACTGGCTTCCACTTTCTTGGCCGCGCCACTTTCTCAGCTGTCGGAAGCGCCTTCGCGAGCACACACACACACACACACACACACACAAAGAGAGAGAGAGAGAGAGAGAGAGAGAGAGAGAGAGAGAGAGAGAGAGAGAGAGAGAGAGAGNGAGAGAGAGAGAGAGAGAGAGAGAGAGAGAGAGAGAGAGAGAGAGAGAGAGAGAGAGAGAGAGAGCATGGGCCTGTCCCAGTCACTAGGGCAAGAACGGAGCAGGCGCTGACCTTCAAGGGGGCCGGGGGGGGGGGAGAGTTCTATCCAAATACAACAATTTTCTCATTGCGAAGTTCAAATATAAGGCATGTACATAGTATTCGAATAGAACACATGCGTTACATTCGAAGTGCCCTTGTCTTCGAAGAAAATGGTGTAACTTTTCGAAAACCGTTTTTTTTGGAAAACTCGAATACAACGCATATGCGTTCTGTTCAGCGGAAGACAGTAGTGGGACTTGCCCCCTTGTTCCGATGCCGAACTCCTTTGAAACTCTTCAATAGCCTTGGTTTTACCATTTAACTGGTTCGTCAACAGTGTGCCATCTATGCAGATTGAGGGCTCCATTCGGCCATAACGGATGGAAAAATACGACTACTTTCGATGTATACTCGTAGTATCCAATCCACACTTGCCATTTAAGGAGAAGGAGACGGAGGAGGAGGAGGAGGAGGAGAAGAAGGAGAAGGAGAAGGAAAAGAAGGAGAAGGAGAAGGAAAAGAAGGAGAAGGAGAAGGAGAAGGAGGAGGAGGAGGAGAAGAAGAAGAAGAAACAACGATTTGCCAACGGAAGATGAACGCAAAGGTTGTCCTGTCCAGATTTGACAGGTACTTGAATTGGTTGGGCTGCTGAACTTGGGCATAAAAGAATTACCCTTTTTTATTAAAAAAAAAAAAAAAGGAAGGAAAAGGAACCAGACTGATCTGATACTTCCCCGGAAAGAAAGTATCCAAGCTCTGTTTAACTTCTGTAGAAATAAAGCAAGAAACAAACAAAGAAACAGAAGAAAGCAAGAAAGGAAAAAAACAAACAAACTCAAAGCGAAGGACTCGACTCCTCCACAACCCACCATTAACCCTGGTTTAGGAGTTATATATCATCCATTAAATTTTGAAACTGATCAAAAGTTAACCCCTCGCAAATAACCGCAAGGCCTCCGCAGAGCTGTATAAGTCGCGCTCTCTGCAGCAGCGATTGCGACAACCAACAAAACGACTACACAAGCGGACGTGTTGAAGCATATGACTATTCGTCATCAACTAGAGATAAAGCCAGTCTATCTACGAATGAAGGACCTTGGCGCTTTCTGAGGGAGCATGAATGAATACGAAGGGGACCAACGCGTGCTGGGGCCCAAAATCAACACGACGGGGGTAAGAACAGAAAGAAGTCCGGGGGGAAAAAGGTCACAAACAACTCGGCAAAAAATGCGAACAGGATTGCCGGCGCCAGGTTACACATGGAAACCAGAGAGACTTGGATACGAAAAAAATAGATCCCAGCAATGGTGGGAAGAGCTGCGTGCAGACGAACAGAACCCAACAAGCTTCGACTCCGCTAAAAATCCAAAAATGGCTGTCACAACGCTTAACAACTACCCGTAGAGGTAAAAAAAAAAAAATTCCTAAAAACAAATAAAAAAAATCCTACTAATGGTTGAGCAGCGTGTAGAAGGCATAGCCAAATGTCGCGAACTTCTTAAAGCTGCTGCTGGTCCATTGAAGGGATACTTAACCAAAGAAGGAAAAAAAAAGGGAAAGAGGGAACCGAAAAAGGAAAGAAAAGGGAAAGTGGGAACCAAAAAAGGAAAGAAAAGGGAAAGTGCGAACCAAAAAAGGAAAGAAAAGGGAAAGTGGGAA